GAATTTTTTTTTTTTTTTTTTTTCAGTTTTTGAAGATCTGAGATCCCAGAAATCACGAAGGGCGAGAGATGATTTGCGTAGAGGTTATGGATCCCGATGAATTAATTGCAACTTTTGGTTGCTACTTGAACAGACGTACAGTCAACTCCAAACCGAGACGCTTTGGGGGTTTGTTTTTGTTTTATTTCTTGTTGTTTTGCCTGGTTTTGGGGGGCAGGTTGGGTTTAGCCCATCAGTGCGAAACAGTCCAGCTCATGTTTATTTGATTCTCGATAACTTGCCTTTCAAAGGCACCTGATCTCAGGTTTCAATGTCTATGATTCAACAGTATTGGCGTCTTTGGTGGGGACAAAAGTAGCTAATACACATTCTCAGGGCTACTTCTGTTTCTTACACCACAATGCATCATATTCTGTTTCTGTAGCCAAGGACTGAACATTCTTCTCAGATAAAAGGCAAGGGGGCAAGAGGTTTAATAAATGGATGCATCACATACAGTTCACCTCTTTTTGGACTTTAACGTTTCATTTTATCCATCAACAAGCCTGTCTTATTTGTTTTGTTTTCGATTTTATGGGGTTGCGTGGTCGTGCATTTGAATCTTCACTATATTTAGCTACTCTTTGACATTTGCTGGTATTTTAGTTTTGTTATATATCCTTTTTCATTTTAAACCTTTGTGGTGACTCTAACCTAAAATCCTCCTCAGGAAAATGGACACAAGACCTTGGTGTGTTTGCGGCTGACCTCTTGACCCGAACAGACACTTTCAGCAAATTCATATGCACGCAGGGTATTTTGGGACACTTTCCCCTTCTTGTTTCTTTTTTTTTTTTTTTTTTTTTTCCCCCCTTTTCTTTTTGGTATGGTTTGTAAATCTATTTAAAGTCTGAATAAAGATCTTTATTAGAATAACTGTAATACAATTATGTTGATGAATAATAAAATTCAATGATATAATGAATAATAAAATGGTAAGCTAGCTATGTATAATATTTTAAACTGAATTAAATTCAAATATATATATATAAATTATTTTTTAATTGAGTTCCTGTATATTTTGCTAACACTGCAAAGTGCCAACTGTTCCCAAAATACCAATTTTGCCACTAGAGGGCAGCAGTGGGCTTCTTATTGTTATGGTTTTGTTCGATTTATCAGCCTAACCTAACCATAGCTAATAGGTTATGCTCTTTTATCTACATTTTTTTTAATAACTTTTTTTTTATATATAAACATTTGGGTAAAGTTGCTGCGTTTTATTCAAAGTAAAGCAGCACGAAATCAAGTAATGCCATTATGTCCTTCATTACTTTTGTATATTTAAGTGTGCCAAATGGATCATGACAGGCCTATAGTCATAATGGTAACTTTTAGTGAAGGGACCAGTTCTCACTATTAACTAGTTTACTGCTTAGCATGCCTATAATTAACATATTTTGCCTCTTTATTAGTGCTTATAAAGCACATATTCTGCATGACCATATTCTACATCCCTAATCCTACCCAATACCTAAACTTAACAACTACCTAACTAACTATTAAGAAGCAGCAAATTAGTAAATTAAATTATTAGAGTTTGAGCCAAAAGTTGTAGTTAATGGTTCGTTAATGGTGAGTATTGCACCTTAAAATAAAGTGATCGTTATAATTTCAAAATCTCAACATGCTTATGATGTAATTCCCTTGTATACGTGAAGTTGCTTCATAGTACTGTGTAAATGAAGAAAAGGCTTATGCTAGGAAGTCATTCCATAAGAAAAGTGGATGTGAAGGAATAATTTGCATTTAAAAGGCATTGATCATAGGTGGTAGAGCTTTCATTTGAATGAAGAATGAATGGGGTTTGCTACAGCACTCATATGCCAAGATCTATTATGAAGGTCCTTGAAGGACATCATTGCAGTCTGGAGTTCTGCTGCTCAATTATGTTGTCGACAGACCTGGCTTGAAGGTCAGCTAAACTGAAAGGCCTTTGATAGGAGGCACCACAGCGTAAAGCACTGATAATCTACAGTATCCGATCTGTCCGTCCCAAAGCCGTAATTTTGAAAACATGAATAAAAAATCAAATCAAAATTATGAAAATTTTTATTCCATTTTGAAATCCAGTAATCATAAATCACTTAAACTCATATCACTGCATTGGTCAAACAGCGTGGGAACCCTGTAAAAGGTTTTCGCTTATCTTGGAGGGCAAATAAACTCAACGTATAACCACATTCTGTGTTGTGCTGAGGCTTTGTGCTTCTTTACAAGCAGAACTACTGCATATGAAGCATCCTTAACCCATTATAACAAGGCCTTGCCCTCTAGACAGGAGTGTTGTTCTCACCCACTCGACTGTTGCAGATTGGTGGATCGAGCGATTTAGACAAGAGGGTGATGGGAGAAGTCTCCCAGGAGGGTATGAATGTGTCGCTGTCTCCAAGGAAACTGATGACGAGGAATGGAGCGTAACAAAAAAAAAAATCTACTGTGAAATGAGTGAATGATGTTTATTCCCTTCCACACCTTGTGAATCCATGTGAGCCCTACATAAGTTGTTGGAACACCGAGTACTCTGGGCCTTTTGGCTGTTCACTTTTGACCTTTTTATTTATTTTCCAGGTCAGGATTTTTTTGTTTTGTTTTCTTCAAACAGATATTCCTGATTTTTATATCTGTCCAACAGTCAGAGCTGTCCAACTAAATGCTTCCCAGTGGAAAACAACAACAGAAACATCACAGAATTTGTAATGGTTTAACTGGTTATAATGGGAATTGTATTGGTTTTAAAGGAAACTGTAATGGTGCCTGTTGGGCTCTACTGGTAATTGGTCACCTTCTATTGGTGGTTTGATAAAACTGCTAAATCCTAATGGAATATGTCCCAAAACACACTACAGGAAACCATTTTTAATGGTTAAAAGTTGATGGTTTGTAATGGTATTTGTAGTGGAAACCATTAGAATTTCTGTGATGTTTCTATTGTCTTTTCCCGCAGGGTTTCAATACAGCAACACAGCTGTGCCTGGGCAATACCACTTGACAAGATCGTATACTTTTAATTTTATGACCAATTTATTTTGGCTCAATTTTCTGGACATAATTATCAATATATACCACATTTAGCACTGAAAAAAATCAGTCACATTTACTCACCCTTATATTGTTCTAAACGCGTATGCCTAACGTTACTAAGTTACTGTCGAAGAATAGGTGGTTATTTTTTCCTCGATGCAGTTATGGTATTTAAGCCTAAAAAATACACAAAACACCATAAAAGTGTCGTAAATGTCATCCATGTGACAATTATTCCAAGTCTTTGGAAGTAAAAGGATAGTTTTGTGAGAAACGCCGAAAATTAAGCTGTTAACTGTTGCGACCGAATCACTGAATCAGTGAGTCGAACGGGAGAATCGGATCCTTATGATTCCTGAATGAATCATTCAGATTCATGGAATGATTTATTCACAAGTCGGAGATCGTTACTTTTCTCAACTTGCCAAGGAGAGCCCTGCTGATTTCAATATTTTCATTAAACAAAAACTTATTTTTTTGTTAGTTTCTCACACAAATATCGTATGGCATTCCATATGGACTGATTTAATTCTATTTTTAGTACTTCAGCATCATTTTTGTAGCTTAAAGCTCCAAGATTTTTTTTGAATTGTGTTATGGAACAAAGGTCATACCGGGTTGGAATGACGCGAGTAAGTAATGACAGTTTTTTGTGTGAGAGTACATGTCCATAACTCGATGTCTTCTTCTATTCCTGGAGACCCGGCATCACCCAGGGGTTTCTTTCTCCTCAGTCACTATTTGGAGCCTGTTCTATTTCTACTCCTGTAAAAAATCTATTTGTTGCCATAGATATAGCAAGGTCTCCAGGGAAACCAATGGTCAGATTGCAGCAGAAGATAGGCAAGTGATTTAAATTAAATTAAGTCAAGTGCTTTTGTGCTCTACTGACTTCACTTTTTCGGAACCGTCAATTTTAGCAATGACTGAGCAACTAACAAGCGATGGAGTAGGCCTACTTATTTTGTGCATCCTCTTCTGAGAGTACAGATTGAATCAACTTCAGCCTTTACTGTCTGTCTGATTGAAGGCTAAGGCCTGTTGCTATTGCTAAAGCTAATTATATGAGCCAATTACAGCAATGGCCAATAATAATAAATTAATTAATCATGGGCAATTGAACGATCTGTTTCCGTTTCTTCTATAAATTATGAGAACACTTCAGATAACTAGAATACATTTAGAAATAACTTTAATTCACAAATATGCTGGAATTCTTGCAGATAGAGATA